CTCTTGGTTTTACAGCTTGGGAATGGATCATATCGAAAGCCAGTTCTCTGCCATGAAAAATTTTGGCAAAATTCTCGATTGCTTGCTAACATCTTTTTTTCTCGACTTTTTAAATCCGTAAAGTGTGAAAAATTTAAAATTTACCCGAAGAGAATCAATCCTAGGCCGATGTAGTTCATAATGACATTATTTGGAACATTCTTTTTAAGGCCAAATAGACCAAAGCGACTGCTTGCCCAGCCCATCAGACAGTTGGTGATGCCCCATAACAATACACCCATACCCAAACCAATTACTCGCAAAATTGGTATCGCTGTTGCATTACCTGAAATTTCATTACGGGTTACCGTAAAGCTTAGTACAGATAGCTTCATTTAACGAATTCTGAGCAGTTCAAAACCCAAAATCACTCACATGGAACTTTTTTATATAGAGCACTGATCTTCAGTTCCATTCCATGCAAAACCAACAATACCTAAATTGTTCCTTCAGTCGATTTGAGTCCTTAGATGCTATTGAGATACATTCTCAATCTGTAGAAATGCGTTGGATCCCTCCCTAATAGTGCCTTTGAAATGATTAAACCATTTCAAGAGGTTTTTCTTGAATGATCATCCGAAGAACTACTGCCTTCTTTTGTTAAAATTTGGACAAAGAAGTGAAGAATACCTCGAATCTCAGTTCTGAATTTCAAAACTCACCAATAGTCCAAGACATTCCACCAAGCATTGCGAGCGGGTAAAATTTAGGAAAACCTTCGTATGCATTAATTATCATGCCAACTGTAAAAATGGCTGTGCACATTACCCACTGTACGAAGAAACCTGAAATCATGAGATCTTTACCTAAAATCATAAAAACTAAATTTAGTAAAAGGATTTCAGATTTTTAAAATTAAAAAAAAAAACTAAAATATTTACTCACAAAAAAATTTACGTTCTTTCCTTTTTTTGACTGGTGACGTCTTGCTTAAGCATACTAAGATAAAGCTCAAAAATTGTTGGGGGTTTGAAATGCTCAGAGGAGACATTCAACAACTTTTGACAGAACTGGGATTTTATCTTTTTCCATTAATCTGATATCAAGACCAAGTTTGGTATCATTGAATTTTTTGAATTAATCCGTTTTCATCCGATATTTGTTTTGTCTCTACGGGAAGATGAGGGCGAGCATTTAAACAATCTGGGTACAAACTAGAAGTTAGCAACTTTGGCAACGATTGAACTGGCATCTATATGATTATGCATTTCACTTTATCTCTCCCCTGTTTCTTTCAGTCACTTCTAGCCAAAAAGTCGAAATCGAGTAAATTCTAAGCCACTTCGGTATTCACTCTCTGTGCGACGCTGAAGCACTACATTTCTTTGATAAGTTGGTTCTGGCAGTGGCAGGGAGTCAAATCCACCGTCAAGTCGTCTGTAAACAAAACTCGAGAGAGAAAGTCATCGACCGTCTTGCCGGTGAGTAGTTGCTTTTGGCATTTACTATTACTCAAGTTATTTCCCGAGTACCTCCGCTCCTCACAGACAGTGAATACGGAGGGGGTTCTGACTTTCGACTACTTTAAGCTTCATTGGAAAAAGAGCTAACCATCGCCAGGGTCGCGCTGCTTGATGGGCACAAACATTGAGCCGAACAAAACAGTTGATATGGCGCATGCGCCCAGTCCTTGCAGTGTCTCAGCGAACGGCATTCTGCCACGAATGCCTAGAAAAAAGACAATTTAACTGAAAACATTTTTCACAGTAAAGTGTAAATTCCCGAATGCACTCCAATAACAAACATGCACGCGGTACGTCTTCTTTCATGGACCGACTGTCAAGAGCGCTCGCTGAAGACTCTACGCTCGACAAGGGCTGACGGCAAACTGGTATAGCTCTGTGCATGACCATGCAGTAACGGAATATGACCCAAAATCAGCTTGGGCCTTTTCGCTTCAGCAAAAGTCAAATAAATAATTTCTTAAGCGAATTTATGCGAATGGTCTACAAAGACAGAGGACGAAAGATGGCAACACTTTTAACATGGTAGACTGTGTGGCACCCCACTGGAACTAGTTATTACCGGCGCGCTAATGTGAATTAGTGGAGGAGGGGAGGTGCGGGACCCTGGGAGAAGAAAATAAACATCATTCCAGTTTTCCTCTTCAACTTATAAAACTTTCATACACTGAAGGCTCCACAGTCTAATGTCTAATGCAACAGTGGAGATTTAGAAAGAGTTCACCTTTTACTGAATAGAGCATCTCAATTGCGTTTTCTTAAAAAAACAAAATTTTGTTTCTTTTTATCCGTTATTGCTATGAAGCCAGTGCACTGCAACAGTGAGCAAAAACGCACATTTTTTATTTATCATTCGCCACGAGTACTAAAATCAGCTGGATTTCCATATTGCCGGAATCCACCATATGCTTAACAGATGGGCCTGCACCAACCTCCCCTCCCCCGACTTCCTATCCGGAACTGGCCCGTAATTTCAATGCGCTACCCTAACGGCCACCATTGAGAAACTGAAAAAGCAAATTTCTTTACACAGCCATAAAAATTCCCGGAACGTTCAGTGCTCCTAAGCCCGCATACTTTTCGGGAAAAATTACGACAGCGTTGCTGCAAGGGGGTAAGCAGTTTTACACAACGCTATGCCCGTGGCAAATTTGCATATAGAAGAGTAGACTTGGAAAATATTGACAGTAAAGCCTATTTCGAAGGAAAAGCCTATTTCGAAGGAAAAGCAAATATGCGTCACAACCTCCAGCTCGAGAGTGCATGTCGAAAGGCAGCTGGTTGTGTTGAAGGAAAGGATGTATGAATGCGAATCGCGGTAATTCATGAAAGCCAAAGAGCGAGCGCTAGCAGCGAAGAGAACGATGGAACGAAGGATGATTGGCGTATCTTTCTGCGATCATATAAACAATCAGACTCTGCGTCAGATGAGAGGCGTGTGGGATATCACTGCGGCAACGGGAGAAAGTAAAGTCTGATGGGCAGGACACGTGCTTGCTGACAATCGGTGGACGACGCGTATTAGCGAGTGATGTTCATAATGACTACTCTGGCAATTCCCAAAGACGTGGCATACATACGTCGAACATGTGGTGGGTACTAACTGATGTCCGGGTTCGAACGGCCCGACACAGCATGTGGGATCATCCTAGTAAAGTCAATGAAATGGAGCCTTCATGTTGATAGTCAGAACGGTTTTAATACTAACAACTAAACGAAATTCTTGTGAAGCAAAACAGGGAAGAGTTCAGAGCTAGCCAGTGCCATGCCGCGCCAGACATGCATCATAAACCAGTATTTTTCTAACATAATTATACAAACAATGTAGATTATTTTCGGAAGCAAGCGGTTCACGTGTTAAGATCTGTCTACTGCACGTGCATCGCTAGCAAGAGCAAAATGATCACCTCCAATTAGACACTGTATCAATGATCAGTTCTAATCAAATATTTGATGTGTATAACGAGTACAAGCTGAAGATATGCTGCTAAGGAGAGAAAGGCCTGGCACGGCTTTTGAAAGCATCCTAGAAATGCTGCTAGTCTTGCGCCCTCCACCCAATCTTTGGAAACTCATTATAACCCTAACACACAGTTGTCCTTCGACACGAAATCATTCCTTTATTTATAAAGAGCCCGCAGAGCAAAGTGTAAATGGGAATTGCATTCCCATTTCTTTTAAAACTATTTTCCTACAGTTATCAAAAATGTTA